CCAGCTGGATGTTTTACTGGCATTTTACATTAATATATATATTATATATATATATAAATATATATATATATTTTTAAAGAAATTAAAAGCTAATGGCTGTATATATGTATATGGTACCACACCAGGCAGGGCTGATGTCACACACCGCAGAGAGGGACATAGGGGGATCACGAGTTTGAGGTCAGCCTGGCCTTCAGAGTGAGCCCGTATCTCAAGTTGCTACTCTCCAAAAACCCTGAAAAGAGAGGAACAAAGTGGAAAGATTTACCGATGGTCTAATTTAATATTCAGATGTTCCATAAAACCCCGATAACCAGGACAGGAGGCTGGTGTTACAAGACAAGATGAATAGGTTAATGGCTATAAGGGGATCAGAATTTGACCCGCACTCATGGAGCTGTTGATTTTCAATGAGGGAGCTAAGGGCACCCTCCCGAGAGAGTGAAGAGCTTTCACCAAATGTCGTTGACTAGCTACAAAGAAAGGAACATACAGAAACATAGCCCACATGGAGCATGGACCTAAGTACAGAAGCTTCTAGAACAAAACATATGTACAGCTTTGGTTTTGACAGAGTCATCACATAACAACGTAACACAAGAACAGCTGAACTTCGGTAAAACGTGAAGCTTCTAACCATTGAAAGACATTAAGAAACAAATGGGAGTCGGCGAAGGGAGGGCTCAGTTGTTGAAAGCACTTGCTGCTCTTGCAGAGCACTTGGATTGGATTCCCAGCATCAGCATGGCAGCTCACGGTCATCTTAACTCCAGTTCCAGGGGATCCAACGCCCTGTTCCAGTCTGCCCAGGCACTGCACGTCAGAAGTGGACCTACTCACATGCAGGCAAAACAAAGTAAAAATCTTCCTTTTTTTTTTTTCTCTTTAAAAAAAAAAAGGAAACCCACAGACTTGGAGCAAAATATTTAGAATAATTGCAGCTACAGCAAACCGATACTTAAAATGGATCATGGACTTGACCCCTCATCAAAGTATGTATTTAAATATTCAACATCCATACCAAAGAAGTTCATATTAAACTCACAGTACTCTAGCCTGTGGATTTATCCTAAAAGACTAAGAACTAAGATGGCTTCCTCCTCAGCACATCTGGAGCAAGTACTTCACTTCTAGTAGAGGTGTCCAGTGGTACGTGTAGGTTTCTAAAAAATGTCTTGTAAAGGCAAACACAGGTCTACTCTGTGATCTCTGAATTCCGCTCCCAGGTATTTATCCAAGAGGGGATGTATTATCCACACACAACCGTCGTCGTCGTACAGAAATGTTCATGACATCTTTATTCATCAAAGTTCCAACCCGGACAGAGAACAGGTGTCCACAAACAGGAAAAAGGACACACAGTTTTTGATACATCGTGTCAGGAGAAGACTTAACAACAGGAAATAACATGCTATTAATAGCACAGCATGAAAAAGTATCAAAACATGCTGAGCGGAATGAATCGGATAAAAGGAGTGCCTCACAGCTCAACTTTTACAGAATTCCAGAAAAAGAAAGTGCCCCATAGTGACAGAAATCATATCAATTGTTCACATTGCTTATCATGGGTTTTGGGAAAGTGGAAATGTTATATATTTTGATTGGGTTGGAGGTTATACGGCTGTCAGAACTCATCAAACTTTATGCTTGAAAATGATTATGTACAATATCTTCAAAATGGTCATGGCTGATTTCTCATCCAACACTCTAGGACTTGCTGGGTGTGGTAACCCACACCTACAACCTCAGCAGATGGGAGGCCGAAGCAAGAGGATCCAAAGTTCAAGATAATTCTGGCCTCCTCAGCAAGACCTAGTCTCAAAAAAATAGATCTGTCTGTAGAGCGATGAGCTGATACCAGCACTGTGATTTCTATAGGTTACGTGCTGTCAATTGGAAGCCACAGATGGGCTGAGGGTAAAAGGCTAGGTGACATGCAAACACCGTCAAGAGAAAACTGACATATGTGTTTGTGTCAGATAAAATAGGCCTTAAAAACTATAATAAGATATAAAAGAAGGTATATATATATGAACAGAGCTTCAAAACATATGAAGAAAAGCAACAGAACTGAAGGTCAGATTTAAAAAATTCAATAATCATCTTTGAAGACCTAAATATTTCATTTATAATATATATTTCTTTGAGAATCCCACACATGATTTTGATTATATTCACCCTCCGCTCCTCCCATACCGAATTTCATAGCCTCCTTTTGTTCTTTATAACTTACTGCGTTCAGTTTGTTCTACCCATACGCGCATGGACACGGGGCCAGCCACTGGGATGACCTACCAGGGACCCCCCCTCTAAAGAATTAAGTTTCATTTATGGTAAAGAGAGAACAATTACACAGAATATTAACAAGAAAATATAAGACTTGGAGAACTCAGTGAACAGATCTCAGTAACAAACTTTCATGGACCTCTCAAACCAGCAACAGCAAGACACATGTTCTTTTCAA